TCAAATTCTTAAGTGTATCCACGTGTACTTTGCAATGCAAATTTTCCAATTTTTCAAACAATCTCGATCAGTTCGTCTTACGGTTCTCATGGATAATGAAAGTCTTAAGTTACACTGTGTTTTGAGTGTGAATACTCAAGTTGCAGTGTATTTGGTAAATGGAATTTAATTTTCCAGTTTTTCAAAAGATCTTGGCCAAACAACTCTCGTGGATAATCAAATTCTTAAGTGTATCCACGTGTATTTTGCAATGCAAATTTTCCAATTTTTCAAACGATCTCGATCAATTCGTCTTGCGGTTCTCATAAATAATAAAACTCTTAAGTTACACTGTATTTTGAATGTGAATACTCGAGTTGCAGTGTATTTTGGTAAATGGAATTTAATTTTCCAATTTTTCAAACGATCTCGATCAATTCGTCTTACTATTCTCATGGATAATGAAATTCTCAAGTTACACTGTATTTCGAGTGTGAATACTCGAGTTGCAGTGTATTTTGATAAATGAAATTTAATTTTCCAGTTTTTCGAAAGATCTTGGCCAAACAACTCTCGTGGATAATCAAATTCTTGCGCGTGTAGTTGGTAATGCAAATTTTCCAATCTTTCAAACGATCTCGGCCAATTCGCCTTACAATTTTCGCCGATAATCAAATTCTTCAAGTTGCGCGTGTATTCTGCAATTTTAATTTTCTGATTTTTCAGTTCTCGTGGATAATCAAATTTTTGAATCACACGTGTATTTGACGATACGATTTTAATTTCCTGATTTTTCAAATCTTCTTCGATCAATTCTCTGTGACATTATTGGCCACAAGTTCCTTCGTTTTCCTCCTCTTTTATACTTTGTAACGTCATAGACGCACATTTTTATATATGTAAATGAAACTTGCAGATAAACTCTATGTTGCCCTTTCCAAACTCTTCATTTGTAATTAAATCAAAATTTGCAATGAAAATCCGTGAATGTCTATTTGTATATATTCCAGACGTCTCCAGACGTCCCACAATACTTGTGCTTGTTATCTTACATTCGCACATCGTGATCACAGGGTTCCTTAAAAGTAAGAAAAATTCGTGGAACGTGAAGTAGTTTCTTTTCGCCTTTTTCACGCGATGTCAACGAGCCCGGGCAGAAATTTACGATCTCGTTACCCAAGAGCGAGATGTTTGAACAACGCGTACGAGTTAACGGGCTTGCGATGTCTACTTACTTGCACGCATAATGATGGCATATCTCGTCGGCCGTGTTAAAGCCCGGGGGCTCGTTTTCTTTCACGTGCGGACGCGCTTACAGTTAGCCGCGGGTGTAATCGTGTATCTGCGCGCCGGTTTACTTTGCTTTATATGCGAACGTTCTAGACAACCCGTGTCCCGTTATCGGGATCCGACGCTAGTTCGAACGCTATTGTTACCGGTCACCCATAAACGACTACGTACAACCCTTTTCCTCTCCCTTTCTGAATCGCTCGCGAAATATACACGCGCAATATAATAGTGAATTTCAACCGTTGCGCGAAAATTTCCACAGAGTCACGAATGAGTAAAGGTTGAGTCCGATTGAGATCTGTAGAAAAAGAATAAAAATTCAATTCAGTCGTAACAAACCTAACTTCAGTCAATTTTTCCGGCTTGTACGATGTAATTTCAGTATTCGAAGTTTCGGTCTAAATTAATAGCAACGACTATTATCTATAACCGCCGTAGACCTAATTTTCGTTGCAAGGTTTGAACATTTGAATATTTTTATAATTGATACAGTATTGGATAGATAGAGTAATGAAAAGAGATTAGATATAATAATTAACACAAATAATAATATAACATTAATCAATTCAAATAATTAATGTAAATAAATAATAGAAGAGATGTTCTCCACAAGGAACGTAAAAAATAAAAATAATATCCTCCTCATGCTTCAAGACTACGCAAAGTTAAGTGCTCGATGTCTGAACAGACACGGTCCTTATCTACTGCGCGACAAGCTCGCGTTCTTTCTTCGATGATCGTGCCTTGTACGAAGTATACGACTACCAAGCCAAACACAAATCAAACGAATAAAAACGAAGATCAAGTAAAATGATCGAGCGAAATTATAACCGAGCGAAACATCGTGCGAGAAACGAAGTAAAAAGAAGAGAAAAAGTCTAACGACCCGAGCTCTCAATTACCATAGATCAATGGCTCAAAAACCCCTCTGTTTGGGATCGAACATGCATCACCGAGTAACTCCAATTGAAATTCTTCGGATTTCCTCTTGCTCTAGGGAGCAATTAGATCGTTTTATCGTGCGCGAGCTCTCTCTCTCTCTCCCTCTCTTTCATCCGCCGGTGAAGTAATTTACTGAAATACAAACGCACCGCAACGAGCGTTGCTGGGATTTGTCACTGTTCTCCGCCGTTCTCTCTATATTCCGCGATATCCTCCCGTGCTATCCTTCTAGCTAGGTTAACGCTACGACCCTAATGATGTCCATGTTTGGCCGAGTTGCCGCCGAGTTTGGCGCTCGACGATCGACACTTTTATTCAACGAGCGCGCGCAACAGCGCGTCCAGCGGATTATTCAGGATTATTCCCTTTCAAAATGGCGGAATCGCCGACCGCCCGGGCCGCGAACAATCGTTTCGAACGTGGATCAATCGTTTCTTTCTCTCGTTTTTCAGGATTGCTCTGCCATCTCGACGACGCTTGCACGTCGAACCCTTGCCACGAGGGCGCGATCTGCGATACAAGCCCGATCAACGGCTCGTTCGCGTGCTCCTGCGCCACCGGGTACAAGGGGGTCGACTGCTCCAACGACATCGACGAATGCGAACAGGGTAAGTTGATTAAATAATTTTGAAGTATAATGAATCTGTATTGTATAACACGACGGGAGGAAAAAACTAGTTTCGGACGCACGAGTTTTTCTTATATAGTGTTCTTCGACCTTTTTGTTTAGAAACGCTTTCCCATTTTAAAAGGGAGCACATCGATATATCGATCACCGATTGTGCTAATTACGGTATAAACATAGTTTTGGAAAAAATATTTGACACGTAGTTTAGCTTTTCCAAAGCCTTCAACAGTGTTATCCTATCATCATCTGTTTAGTTATTTGCATTTGTACTCTGCTATGCGAGAACGGACGAAAATTATGAATTCTTTTGCGAATGCAAAATTGAAGATTCCGATTTATCCGTAATTTATATTTGACCGTATATTTTTCATAAACAAATGTTCAAGAAAATGTGTTTAACATTTGCTTGGAAAAGCCACGTATATAAGAAACACGGTTTTTAAATATATTGCTTAAACAAATGGCTTTTCTCGCAAAACGGTATATTATAAATTAGTATAAATTATGTTTACACATTTATAATAATATATAGCATAAATTCATCGTTGAGAAACACTAATTTAAACTGTATCATCAGTAATTTTCGAGATATTTGACAAAATATCCCCCAACTTTGAGATTAGTTTTCATCCCTTCGACGATTGCCGATGAAAAAAAAAAAAAAAACAAAAAGAAGGAATACCATGATTTGTACGATCGATAATTATCGTACGGTGGTAGACGAAAGCTCCTACGGTTCGAATAAATTGAAATCCCACACGGGGATCGAGCAGCGAATCGGTGGAATCGATCGATCGATTGCCATCGATTAATTCGGTGCTGGTTGCGCTCCATTCATCCTCGTTGTCGTCGGTCGTGATTGATCCATCATGAACGAGGAATCCTCGATCGCCACGTTACGCCACGTCTTATCTGAATACATCTGACTGCAAAGCATCGACTGCGCTCTAGTCGATCCCTCTTGTGGGAAACGCACGGTTGTACAGACACCGTGTATCAATTAAATCTCCCGTATGGATCTCTGTTTATTGAGAAATAGTTCAGCAACGATACAAGATTGTTCCGATCGTTTCGTTTTACCTGACTTTAATGGTCGGTGAGATTACCGTGATAAAAATTAATACAATTCGTAGATGCAAATCGTCTCGACGTCAGAAATACAAAAATGGCCAGTTTCGTTGGAAATTTTATAGACGTAATAGTAACGCAAGTTTTTTTTTCAGCGATTTAAATGAAATATTTCGTAAAATGTGCGATTGATTCTAACGTCTCTGGTCTCGAAATTTTGATGTTTTAATCGCCGGATAGTTCCAGCGTTGTGAAAGACGTTCTAGAGTTCCGAAGGGCTGGTCATTTGAACAGAGAGAATAAAGGCCATTGAGGCTGCAAATTTGTGAAAATTGCACCCCGAGTGCCTCAATGGGAAGAGAAGATGCCCGGGTTTCTGTGTAATTCGTGATCCGATTCTCAATGCATCCACGCGAACAACACCTGTACGCTGCGCTCTAATAAGCATCCTGTAACGTGGATTTCTTCTCCTTCTCTTCGACTCCCCCCCCCCCCCTCTCCTCTCCACCTCCTTATTTTCCTTTCACGTTTGCTGGCAAACTTGTCATTCATCTCTCTTTTTTCCCCGGGCGTTGTTCTCTGTAGCAGAGCCCGGGGCCACAGGCCGCAAAAACCAACCCCGCCATTGGACGATCGATGAACCGGCGAGAGTCTCAGTGTGGCAGCGACGATTATTAATAATTCCCGCGGTATAATTGATGGTCAGGCGCGGGATTTCTGTTCGGGGTGTACACGTTACACGTTGATGCACCGATCGATCGACAGTTGTCTCTAAAAGCGAGTACAGGGTCGGGCCGCTCCTTTCAATCCTTTCATCCACGTCCAACGACTTCGACTTTCTCTTCCTCTCCCAGCCGCGTACGTAATGAAGCGTGTTTACCGATTCGCGACGCCTCGTCGCGTCCACACGCGGCGCGTTGCAGAAACTGCCGAAACTGCGTGCCCGGATAAAAGTGAAGTTTCGATGAAATCGAATCGTTCGATGTTCGATTTCTCTCGCCCTGACGTTTCCTTCGTTAAGTTTGTCGTCCACGTAAACACAGTAGATGTAAAAATTTTGATAAATCTTGGATTGAATTGATCGTTGGATTAATCGTGATAATAATTTGAATTTTTAGAATTGTTGTTACGAGGTTAGTTAATAATCTTTGTATATTTATATGAATATTTGTATAAATATTTGTATAAATTTGTTGTTTGATTTTTGAAATATTTGTATAAATTTATTGTTTGATTTTTCTTTTTATATTTTAATCTAGAGTGATTGGTGAATTTCGATTTAATGCCTCGTTCTGTTTAATATTTTATACTTCCGTATTTTCATTACCGTTGTTATATTTATTTATTGAATTTATATATGTATATAGGAAAGATCTCTATATTAGAGCTAAAGTTTTAGTTCAGACGCTAAGACGCTAAAATGCATGCCAATTTTTTACAAATGTCTTTATTTAATAGACAAGTAAACATTTTTCACTTGAAAGTAGCAAAAATAAAAAAATTTTATTCAAATTTCACAAAAAAGTTACACCTCAGTGAAAAATAAAACATATGTACACCTATTTCACAATATAAATTTTAGTCCGCGTAAAATTACAAATTTCATCATTTTGACTAGTACGACAGACACTGAAACAATTTTTCTATGCGTAACAGAATTTTATAAAAACTACCCATGTATTGCTACTAACGGTGTCATCCGTAACAAGGTAGCTGTATTCAATTTGACATCGAATGGCGTCACCCGTACATAAAGTGTTAATATCTTGGTGGTTGGTCATTCGCGAAGTTGGCGAGTTTCTATCGACCGAGGGCTTTGCTGTACCCGCATTAATCGGCGAGGAACGGCTTGAAAATGCACCCGAGTAAATTCCTTTCTTTTTCGCGTCGGGCTCGATAATAAATACACGTCGCGTTGCAGCGAGTGAGCGCGCCGGTTAATACGTTTCGTTCCGGACAAAGACACTTCATTAATAATCGGAAACGTTTCCTTTGTATCCTCCGCGCTTTCCGTTCGTCCCTCTGTTTCGCTCCGAAGGGATTCCCGCGCATTAGCTCGAGGTGCGCGTCGGGTCGTGCGCGTTAATCAACCGGCGCGGCGCAATTAATTGGATTTCGGGGGTGAACGTTAACAATCGTGCCTCCACGGAGAGGAACACTGTTTTTTGTAGGCCGTAGATCGTTACGCGAGATCGCAATTCATTCTCTCGTATTTCATTAAACGCGCGCGAAACGCGCACGGTCTCTCTGCGCAGACTCGGCCGCACCTCGGTCGGTAATTTAGCAAACGTTCGCGCGCCGCGCCCGACCGAGCTATCAATCTGCCGGACCTTTCGTTTCTTTGCAGTTTTTCTTTTGCACGCGCCCTTTTTTTTTATTTTTTCTGTTTTCTTTTCTTTTCTCTTCGACTCGGCGATACTATCGAACGGAACAGCCCTGATTTTCACTAGGAGCGCTTAGACTCTGCGTCTAACGTTTAGAAGAAATCGCGCCTTAACCCTCTTGTAATTAAGGTTATGGTTGGTAGCTTAAAATTTTTCGTCGTGTGGAACTATAAAGTATCGTCGTAGTGTTACGGAGTGTGTAAAACTCTTGATAGAAACATAAAACTTGTGAAAGTAAGGCGTCGGTAAAAATAGTTGAGGTATTCAAGTGTTCGGATAATATTCAAAGTGTGAAATAGAAACAACACGAATCGTCGAGCCAATTAGCAAGTAAGTAAAAAAAGCGATGGTTCACTTTTTAAAGAATCACCACATTTTAAATGTAAGATATTTAAAAATATATTTTTATAATGTAAGATATTTAAAAATATATTTTTTCGAAACTTGATACATGTAAATTTATAATATTACAAATGGAAAAAAATAATCGTAGATTTGCAAAATGAAAGAAATGATATTTCCGGGTGAGATAAATGATCCAAGTTGAAAGTGCATATTTTTAGTTCAATTACAACTATAATACCCAATTCCTCCCTTAAAAAACCAAGTCACCTGACTCGATAGTCTGCGACATTTTGATAGTCTCTCGCTTGTCCTTTTTTTTTTATAATAATACGACAATATCGCTTTATAGAAATGTAACCATAACCTCTAAATGTTACATTAACACGTTATATTCCAAATAATGTCATCACTTTTTAGTAAAATGTCAGCAAATTATAAATTAAAAGATGAGCAGAAAATGCTCATTACTTGAGACAATTCATACACATTGTACATAACTTTCCTCATTTTTCCAACGAAAACGAACAAGGAGATCCAGATGCAATATAATATTGACATTTGACAATCTATATGTGAGATCGACCCATGTCATCCAGGCTTATCGGCTCTTGAGTACTAAAAGAGTTAAGATTGAATATGATCGAACGAAAATTATAAATATCGTTCGACGATGATCCTTCGCGAGATTGATTCTCCAGCGACCTTCTTTCCCTTTCCTTTTTTCGTTTCTATGCGATTGGGATTATGCAGTTGGCGATTAGTGGCATCGAAGCTGGCACCTTGCTCCTCTCATTTATCTGGCCCTCGCTTTTGTTTCTTCTCGTGACTTTCGCCCGCTGCAAGCCATTAAACACACCGGATAGTCCGCTTTCTTTCAGCTCTTTATCTTCCCTTGACGATTGCCTCAGGCAATCCTCGGATCTCTCAGGATCTCTCTTCCCCCGAATAAAAGCGACAGCTCTTGTTATTGCCCGACGCGAATTCCCCGAGGATCGGTTTATCAACGCCCGCTAGAGCCGGCACCGGGTCACTTTTGACCCTTTGCTGAATTTTTGCTATACTTTAGCCGTTATTGGTACCTAGTAATTTTTATATTATTTTTACATAATGCTTCAGCCAAAATTTCCAGAAGTATCTGTCTTTGAAATATTTTGCTTCCTCGCTACGCTCTAGTTCTGGGTCA